ATTACTTTGTTTTATGCGTGATTTACCATTATGTGAAAAAGCAATGATCTTACAAATTGAAATGTAATTTTGGCTGAATGGCAAAGCAGCCGCAATATAACCTGTATGACTTATCTGTACATGTTTATAAACCCAATGATGTTGTTCTTATTGTTAGTAACAAAACATAAATACGCAACATCTGCTAAAAAGGCAGGAACTATTATTTCATTCTTTCATTCATTTTCATTCTAAATTTATCTATCTTTAAGTATAATCGTATACACATATTGTTTATATAATATTATATAATATATACGTACATATACAAGCATCAACGCCAATACTCTACATAAGCTCATACCTGTTTAAATATTTATCTGGCATTTGTTGGAGTATTTTTGCTAATCGTAAAACGACGTTATAGGAAATGATATGAATTTGAAAAAAAAATACCAAAGGATGATTGATTAATACTTTGTGTTACACTTTGAACGCTGTAAGTAAGTAGTTGTTACAAAAAAAACTAAGTTTTCACAATTACTTACCTTCCAGAAGTAAACTTTGAGATTAACAAATAAGAGAACTGCATAGTACTCGCAAAACCATAACCAATCAGTTAAATATTTGAGTATCAATTTTTGGTATTTTTTTCGTTCCAGATATAACAGATGTATAAGTTTTAACAAATACGTAGTATATTCCTTTGAGTCATCCCTTGGATGCATATAAATAAGGGTCAGTTCCGTCTGTTGTCAGATCTACTTAACAGTCAGTTATTAAACTACATAGTATGTACATAGTATGTATATTAGGAGTTCAACTCTCCATTTAATAGTGACATTCGTTAATATTATTTTTTCAGATCTTTTCTGAAAGTTTTCTCAATTTTTTAAACTTTTCTTGATGATTAAAATTTTGCTCATCCTCACACAAGATTATCTTCTTCTCCTTTAAATTATACTTTTTACATCTAAGAGCGCAAATTCTGTATGCCATTTGATACTAAAGAAAGTATCATAGACGGTGATAGCTATAAGATTAACGGTTATATTCCTTAACTATTTGTACCCTAAACAGGGTAAATTAAGTATGCCACGAAGTTTGTAACACTCAGAAGGAAACCTCAGATACCCTATAAAATATATATACATATATAAATGATCAGCATGACGAGCGTAGCCGATTTAGCCAAGTCCCTCAAAAGCGACTTATTTGTTGGAACCGTTGATTTCGGAACACTATAGCATATAGCTGCCATACAAGACGAAGATAGAGTCTCCGAAGAAATGATTCAGATGGGACAACTATAGCATTTAGCTGCCATATACACTGAACGATCAAAATTAAGTTCTTCAAGAAATCTCTTGTTTTTGGGAAGAGTGCAACCGAAGTTAATATTTTTTCTTGTTTTTTAATACTCTTCCTTATGTCCAACTTCCAACACACGTTTTCGGTAGACATTTCAAAGTCAATATCTTTGTTATACTTTTTCAAAGATAAAGAAAAAATAGAGTTAAATGATAATCGCGAAATATTCAACTGAGAGATTGAACGTACTTACTTTAAATTGAAAACAAAAAAAAATTGGTATTTTTCTTTAAGGGTACCTGACCAAGCCTTAGTTTAATATTAATAGAGAAAGCATTGAAAGATGAGTACAGTAATTCCAAATACTAAATCAGTTCTAATAGAAAGCCTTAAGTTAAACACCATTGTTTAGGTGTTTATTTAAAACTATTTATTTAGTCAGCTGTGACAAAAGTAAATTGTCCATCTTATTCCACATAACTGTTTTGATGTTGATTATTCTCTTCCGAGGAGCCTATACGAGTACAAGCATTTTTGAAGAATATTTTCTGGAACATTTCAACACGCTTAAGTTTTTAACGGGATTTTCAACTAACCCTTTAAAAATAATTTTGGGATATTAACAAACTTAGTTAATTGAATAAGGAGGTTGAGACACAACTAAACGTAATTCGGCTATGGAAAAGTTTTTGGTTGTCAAAAAATTTATATTAGTCTAATTTGAGTCTCACTAGAATTTTCTTAGTAAGATTAAAAGAACACGAAGAGTAGTTTTTTCTTAGCATAAATATTTGATCAGAAAACATTCCTCCGCAATAGTTTAAATCTGACGTCACGTTTCATTAAGTATGTGTGTGTATATGTATAAAAAGGTTGAAACATATTTTCAAATGTGCGTTTGTGGGTGTTTGCACATATATATTTTGCATATTTAGTAATCATATAATATGTTTTAATTATGAAACCAACCACATTTATTTTGACGAAGAATGCGACTCAATTTCACGCTTCCACTTTCCTAACGACCGTACGACTTGTATATACAACAAACACGCTTAAAAATAGCAAACGGTGAACAAGAAGTAGACGCGAAAGAGAAATGTAAAACATCTTGTAAGCGGTAAAAGCGAATTACTTCAATAAAGAAGCGACAATTTATTATGCACACTGAAAGTTAAATTAGCATTTTTAACAAAAGTGCTGACTGGGCGCTACTTCTAATGGCAAGTAGTTGCGTGAGTGTGTGGATGGATGTGCGTCTTGGTATGCAATAAGGCGGAAAGTACGTTTGTGGGTGTGGTGTGATTACGACGCTATTGATTGTGCTCAACTTTTTTGGGTTTGTGAAAGTGCGATTACCTTGGATATAGTAATGTTTCTAAATTATATGAGTCATATATGTATATGAACGTATATAGAATTGAGTGATGATTGGAAGTTCGTGGATCTAGCCACTATCTAAAGAATTTTAATTTCATAAATAGCCCGTAATTGGAGCAAAGTTATGCTCATCAAAAGTAAGGAAATTCGCAGAAGAACTGCCTTCTCTACGGCTGCTACCAGGAAGCAATGCACGTTTTGTGATAGAGAGTCTATCTAACATGACCTAGTCTGCAGTTTTTTAAATTGTAGAAATACGTTGTGGAAACTTATCTTTCCGTTATCGGCGATATTTCGGGTATCCTCGAACAAATCTCATAAATCTTCCACCGAATCTGTTCATATCTTTTGGATCTTTAAGTCGTACCACTAGAAATTTACACAATATACAATGAAACATCGTATGCGACATTTACTAAGCTGAATTCACGATTGTTGTGATATCCCTTTTTATAATAATAATAATAATAATAACCCAACGATTACTAAACCGACGCAAGGGGCGCAATCCGCATACGTGCGGAATTAGCCGAGTCAGAAAAGGCAAGAGAGTTTTTTAAGTGTTGAGATCTAAAACTGCTCAGCTACAGAAACAAAAATTTCAACAGCTAAGATTTATGGTTACAATATAATAAATTGTTACACTTTCATTCATTAAGAGAAAACAATAAAGTCTTTTTAATTTTGAAAATTGAGTCAGATAAGTCAAATGTGCTGGAATGAGAATTAAAATCATCATATACGGCGGTATATGTATATGGAGGTAGACTTACCCTAGAATCCCATCGCAAATGCGCTAACGCGAAAAGTAAAAATTGTTTTTGAACAGACTGTAACTTGTCAGAATGGATTTGGTAGCTAGGGTTCCATACAACTGAGCCATATTCCAATATGGTCTAACCAAAGTTGCATAAAGTGTTTAAGTAATATACGGATCTCTAAATTCTTTAGACCAACGTTTAACAAAACTGAGGACAGCTTTTGCTTTCAAGACCATGGTATCAATATGAAGACTAAAATTAAGCTTAGGGCCCATATTAACTCCCAAATCAACATAGTTAAAAACTTGCTCCAGAATATGGTGTTTTATTACATAAGAAGAGGGGTGCACAGATCTACGGGAAAAGCGCATCGTCTTACATTTATTCAGATTCAATGGCAAATCATTTCTATCACACCATGCAACCATATTGTTTAAGTCTGTTTGCAACAGACACCTTTCCTCAGTTCAAGTGTATGATTTACGTTTAAAAGCTTTACGTCGTCAACGTATAATAAATTTTTTGAGAATTCAATTACTGAAGAGATATCGTTAATAAACAACAAGAACAGAATCGGGCCAAGATGATTACCTTGCGGAACGCTTAAAGAAACATTAATTGTATCTGAAGGTGTATCCTCAAATATCCCTCGTTGTGTTCTATTATAAAGATAGGAAGCTACCCATTGAAGGAATCTTGGCTGAAAGCCTCTATAGTTTTCAATGATTTTAATTATATAAAAATTCAAAAATCAAATATATAGAAAGTTTAATTATGAATTTAATTAAAATTAAATGAAGAAGAAATTTTACAAATGTGAACATCCAATTTGTTTAGAAACGACTTTTGGGTGGATATTTTTGAAAAGGGTTGCCAATTATTAATTTATTTTTATTTTTTGAAACCGGTCAACTAAAAAAATCATTATAGACCATCAAACTAAGCTAGAGGATTTCTGTAGCAGCTGTTTTTGGGCTGGGTTGCCACCTATTTCAAAATTAAAATTATTATTAAATGTATAGAAATTAGAAAGAATTTCTCAATATGAATTCATTTGATAATAATTTAAAGCTTCCAACAGATGGCTACTTAAATTATCTGCTACATAAATCCTTCTGAAACTTTATTAGGTTGATCGCCATTGACAATTGATTAGTTTTATAGAATAAAAAATTGTATAGTTGGCAACCCTTCTCAAACATATATCTCCAAAAATTCTTTCTAAACCAGTTTGATTAAACAAACATGTTCCTTCGCATTTCTCTTTATAAGATCTAACAAATTTAAACTATTTCTAATTACCCTTGTGAAGCTTTATGATACCAAACTATTTTAGAACCTTACTACAACGGTGACTCTCAATATGTACCCATTATACAATATAATACAAAGCAGAGTATTTTCGTAAAAAAGGTTTCAGAAAATTTTCAGGTTAAAATAGTTTTAAATACTAAATTGTTATTTAATTACTTTAATTATAATAATTTAATTAAGTAATATCAAAATTTTTTGATTGAATTTTTATTTATAGTATTAATTACTTCAAATTATTTTCCTTTGTCTTCACAGAATTTTGTCTATTAGCGATCTGCCACCTTTGCCAAAAAGTCTTAGCGGTATCAATAAAATGCTCGGCTCCGATTCGGGTTTGATCAGCGATGATGCTGATGTCAATATGGAAAACAAAAACAACAATCACAACAACATTAGCGCCGGTAGTGTGCAAAGTTTGAGCAACAGCAATCTGGACAATAGCGTAGAATACCAAAACGGCGATAATAATAACAACAGCAACAGTACTACGAATAGTGTTAATAATATTGGCAAAAATGATTTAAACACAGCGAAATTGTTAGAAAGTAACGAAATGGACGTGAGCAACAAGGCAAAGACATCGAGTTCCGCACTACCAACAACAACGATAGCAACAACAAATGCGAAAGAAGCAACCACAACAGCAGCGTCAGCCGCGGCGGCGACACCCGCGAAATCTGGCATCACCTCAAACGCCGCTGGCGCTGGCGGTGCGGTGGCGACCGTGACGGGAAGCACACTGGATACACAATTGGCCATTTTAAGAAAAGAAATGGTAAGTGTAAGCCTAATGCCTTTTTGTTGTTAATGCTTTATTGTGGCTTTTATGGTGGTTAGAGACAACGCAGCGGGAATATAAAATTACTTTGCATTACTATTGTAGCTCAATGTGAAAGAAAAATTACTATGAGCCCAGATACAAACAAACAATTGATAGTAATGGTTAGCGCATGTGCGGCGGAAGACCGGACGGTAAAGTGCTTTACTTGCAAATGCTTTATACATATATGCTGATATCATTTGAAATTTATTGAACCCTACACGTGCGATCAACGGATGTTCTGGGTGCTCGTAGAGCAAAGGCGCGTTGACCCATTTCTAACTGAAGGTTACTTACGGTAATTAATTCGGCTGTAGAGAAGCAAAATAGAAAGGTTCATATTTTTTGCAAAGTTTGTCAAAATCTATAGTTGAAGTGCCAAAAAGAAATTAATTAAATTTTTTATATGATTTTCTAACATATTTCTTACAATTTATGTCGTATAAGCGCTTTGCCATAGTGATACTTCAGTTAGTTGTAGGTGTTTAGTATACGCGAACCAGGCCCTCAGTTTTCGAGATATCGCTCTCTTGCTTACAACTTTATTCCTCAAGAAGCTGCCCATGTGTCGAAACTGCCGATATTGGACCACTATTAATGATATTCTAGTTACGGAGTTAACGTTTTTTCTTGTTTTAGGTTTTTTTTTCAAATGTATTCTTAGGGGTCTCCCACATTTTTTTAATATTGTACAATACATTTTTACAATACAAGCTTTTAATACAATATTTATAGCAGAGAAATTATAAAAATAAAAAGTTCTTGCAAGTATAACCACGATATGAAACATCGCTTCTTGTTGAAAGTGAACAGAAAGTGTAATCTGACTAACTACAATATAATTCTTGTTTTTGGGGAATTTACACGTAACAAGTTGTAATTAACTTTGAAATTCTCTGTTAAAATAGAGAAAACATTATTCTTCCATATTTAAATATATAGTTTACTTCTATCTGCAAATTTCGAGAACCACCGCGAGTACCAATAAGACAGTGTTCAGTTAGAACTCCTATCATTGAAGCGAGATGAAGCTTGCTAGCGGCAAGTAATTCAATGCACATCTTTCGTTCCACTTTTGGGGAAAAAGGTTTTCGCAAACACAGATGTGCTGGTTGCTGACTATTGCTTGCTAAGCTTGTGACTTTACTGAGCGCCCTCCACCAGACAAATACATCATAAAACATTATCGACTTAATCACGGTTTTGTAAAACCAAAGCACAACTTTTCGTGAGAGAGCCACCGCTTCCCAAAAGCTTCTTTAAAGCAATATAAAAAGTTAAGTTGAGAGTCTCTCCAACGCGGCAAGGGGTCCATCCGGGATTTTATACCTTTTGGTAAGTAAACTCAGTTCCGTTTTATTTTGATTGACGGCTAAGCCATTTATTTGCCCAGTTGGCTACCACATTGAGGAACCCTTGGGTTGACTCGTGGGCGATATCTAGAATTTTTTTAACAACGGATAGATTTAGATTAGCTTAATTTTAATCTCATCAAAAAGATATGTCAGTTGGTGCTGATTTTTTAGTATGTGAACTGCGAAACCTAAATAAAACTATTAGAATCAAGTTGATGTAGACAGTCGTATTATTAACTTGTATTATTAGCTGATTCGATGACATTCTTAAATGATTTCTAGAAAGTTCTGGAAAATATAAACAATTCTTGTTATGTCATATAAGTTGGCTGGAAAATGTGGTAATAAAGTATAAACACATTTTCAAACAAAAATACATTTATTCTACTTCACTTACTGAATATCATTTTAGGGGCTTTAACCATCAAAAGCCAATAATAGAAAATGAAATATACTCATATTTAATAGGTGTAAATTAGTGCTATATTTACATACAGCTTACATACATAGTTCCTAGCTGCTTTTTTTGTATTTTTACTTCGTTGATTGCAAATATTTTTCCACCTGCCGCAAATGGTTTCTGGCTAAAATCGCACTTTCCTAAGCTTACTCTGGCTTTGACTTTGACATTATGAAGCTTTACAACAAACTTTCGCTTATCACGCTTGTGGGTACAACTCATGTACCATATATATATATATGTATATATATTGTGCATTTCTATATATCATACCTATGTATGTAGATTTGTATAATATATACACTTCTATTAGCATTTGCCGGCACTATTTTTGCATTACTATTGTTTGTTTTTTTTACAAATTTGTTGTTTTGTAGGTGTAAGTTCATATTCTTTGGAAGCAGACTGTTAAGACACAAAATTTTTTTGAGATATTGAGTCAAAAAGTTACGAGCACAAATTTTTAGGTACATATGTACATATATGTACATTTGTGTATTTATACATATACATATGTATATATATATGCCTCTTTGTGCGATCTCTCTATCTTAGACCTCTTCATCCAACAGCTCGTTGATTGCGCTGCATTTCTATCATCGTCTTTTGCTCTTTGCTCGTTGGCTCCTGCACTGCTGCCCATAGTCATTAGTTACTCACGCAGTCTGTCTGATTGTCAGTCAGGCAGTCACTTAACTTGGTGTGGAAAGTGAAATGAGTTGACCTTAAAATAGTATCTTCTTTTGACTTTTTAACGTGGTGCCACCTTCTTGTTGGTCTCTTGTTGCTTCATTTGCTGGCGCGTTTTCTTTTTTTCCTTTTGTAATGCTTGCTTCGCAATTTGGGATCTTCGCGAAATACATACTATGAGTTTTATTTGTGAAACGTATGAAATATGCATTAAAATGAGTAAATGAAGCGTACAAATAGAGACAAATTGAAACAATGCCTATACAAACAACTAAAAATAAATCAGACGCACACACACACACAGATGAAAAAAAACTAAAAATAGTAGAAATACCAACATTTTACACGTACACATACAAATTCAAATATCTCTTGGAGGTGCATAGTTTCGCTGCATTTGTTAAGCGCTACACGTGTACACATACATTCATCTTGCAGAGTTTTATGTTATTTTCATCAACAAGTTCGTTTTTGAATTTTTATTATGCTATACAATATTTATTTCCCTCTTTTTTCTTTGCTTTGGTTCGTATTCATAATTTTTTCATAGTACTTATAAAGTACCCACATTCGCCGTTGTACGCATCTTTGTGCATGCGCTTTTAGCTAGTTGTCACCTCGCAGTTTGCATATTGTTTTCGTGTCATTGCCAACGCCACGTGTAACGTTCACACTTATTTATTCACCCACATTAAAAAAAAAGCTTAACGACATTATCTTTTCATGTTAAGAGTACAGGAAGTATTTTATTTTCTATGTGTGGTTTATGTTTTCACAAAAAAAATAACAGTTGGAGAAATACAGACGGCCTATTTGTATTGTAAAAATCGACGATTTTTAGAGGATTCTACTCGCCGAAATTAGTAAATAACTAACTATACTAACGTTTCACCATTTTTCTGTGTGATGTTTTTAAGATCTTTTGTCTTGAGAAATGTTTTGTGTATAATTGCTAGCTGGAGTCAACTTATAATGATTTCTGTTTAAAGCCTCTGAATTCGAAAAGAATTGTTAAATTTAACGAACACAATTCACAATCCAACTTTAATGGAAGACTGTTTTCTGATAATAAGTTTAATATATTATAAGTAGGAGCTCTCAATGGCATGGCTCAAATCGAAGCCTGGATGTGGTATAAGATTTCAGTAAAATATGTTATGCGGAATTTTTTTTGAAAGAGAGTCAAATAACGGATATATAGATTAATATATTTTATGAATATTGTTACTCCGCTGTTTTAAGTAAGACAAAAAAAAAACATGCTGGTTCAATGGGGTCGGCCCAAACGGCAGTTGATATATGTATATACTAATTTTATTAATTCCATGAATGTTAAACTTGTTGGATGGAGTTTAATTCGGCTATAATAAAACTCATCTGATATAGGATGCTGAGTTAAAATATTTCTGTGCCTTCAGTGTCTTATGGGATTTTTTGATTTTTTAGGTTTCGGCTTTTTTCTGGAGCGCAATTAGCTAGATTGTTGGACAGTTTCGACGTCATGCTCATAAACCCATGTATTGATGCGTTTGATGAATGTGGGGTCCTTAACTCCGTTGGCAAGCATATCTTTTGCGATCGGCGTCGTTTTCGTAAAAAAAACCGGTATTTTGGTACGAGTTCAACATTGACGATCTTTATACCCAACACATTAACCAAAATGGTTGAGTCGACCCATACGACACGTTGAGATCCTCTGCTATCAAATATCGGGTTGTTATACTCAACGTTTAACTCTTCAAAGATCACTACCGTTACAGTTCGTGCGAAGGTAGATTAGTAAAGAATGTTAACCGATTACCGTCTTTGAAACACTACTTCTTTGCGTGCTATATATTTTCAGCTCTACTCCCTTGTTAAAAATTTTTTTGCGTAAGTAACAACAAAGTTTAATTTAATACTAGAGAGTATGTGAACACCTTGTGGAAGTGGTTTAACATATTGTTTTTATTTTTATGTAATGTTTGTCTATTTTAGTTATGCCAGCTGGTTGTTCGTTTCACTACTCTCCGAGTTCTGGTGCCTTGAAAACAGCTTACTTCTATTCCTTTTGTTTTTGCTTTGTCTTGTACTCAGACGCCAAATAATTTATCAACAATTTATACCACTTTTGACATTGAGTTATTACCGATAGCTAAAAATATCGAGCGGAATTATATTGGCTCATTCTTGAACAACGTTCTACAATACAATTGTAGAGTAACTATGTGGATATATTAGAGTTGACTTCATTTGAATTTTGTAGAGCGTCTAAAGAAACGTGACTGAATTTTATTCAATGTTATGTAGCGAAAGATTTATGAGCTGAAGCCGAAGGGAAGGGTACATATATATTATATGTACATATGTATGTATATATATACATATATCGGTTCTGTATATCACACAGCTACTTGTAAATATACACATATATCAAGGCACGTCACATGTAATTTACATACATACACATA